TGCTATTGTTGTGAAATTTTTTAATTTTTTCTACAAAGTTCGAAAAGTGGATTTATATGGTATTATATAGTTAACAATACATAATAAAAAAAATAATAAACATTACTAAAAGAAAAGAAAGATTGTCAAAATTGGTGAAAATGTCGTGTCGCTATTTTTTCACGTTACTGTATGTATGTATATGCACTTTAGATATCGTTTTGTATCAACGACTTATAAATTTATACTCCTTCTGTGCATTGAAAAATGAAAAAAAATCGTAAAAGTGCAGTATTTCGAAACAAAAACAGCAGTTTCCATTTTGGGAACCGAAAAAAAAGGATAATACTGCAAAACATAGTATAGATACGAGCATTAGGTTCGCAAAAGCAAACAAAAATAAAAAGGAGTTGGTGGTTTATTATTAATATACACACTTGTATGTTATCCTGTTTTTCAAAAATAATAATAATAAAATATGCTGGGACTTTATCAGACTGAGAATATTTAAACTTTTTTTATGCTTTCTCAATAAACGTTAATATTTGTAATCAAGGTGGTTTCGATGGTACCTCCAATGTGCTGGCAGGAAAACTTTTCAACATACCAGTCAAGGGCACTCATGCGCACGCTTACATAACTTCATTTTCTGGTATTGGCGAGTTAAAGACACGTTTGTTACGGCATAAGACGACAGGTATGTTTAAGTGCCGAGTTTGTAATTAGTAAACACGGCCAGTTTTTAAAATATGGGCAAATATGTTTGAACACACAGGCATTACCGGTGACCTACTGGATCATGCAGTGCGACATCGTCAGGCGTTGGCAAATGTACTCGATGTGTCACAAGAAGAGTCGAGCGAAGGCGAGTTGGCCGCCATGGTGTCCTATGCAATAGCGTTTCCCGATGGATTTATGGCGCTAGTCGATACGTATGATGTTAAGAGGTATTTCGCTTCTAGGCAGATTCTCTCGGAACGACAATTTTTTCCTAATTTTGTTGTTTATCTATATTTAATTGATAATATTTTGTACTTTAGTTTTGTAAGATACTATCTCGAGTGTGTCACATATACTCACTCAAAAAAAAAAACAGCAGTTCATTCATTATAAGTTGCACGCGTGCATTCATATATGCACTCTTAAAACACTTCATACATACGTATGCATGTATGTATATGTACATGGCTATGTACATACATACATACTTTCATATGTGTTTGACGTAATTTTGTTTTGTCCCGCTATGTATGTATTTCTGTGTGTAGCTTAATTAGTTTGCAACAAACGAATGCAAATATAACCAAATGTATTTAACAGCAAAGTTCAACCTACGAAATCAAATAGTGAAGACAGCGCAAAAGATTACAAAACGCCAAACAAATTAACTAAATTAAATGGCCAAAATCTTCAGGCGGCGGCTAATGGATATGGTGCTTCTAAGAACTTTCAAGTCAAAAAAGAAAGTCAAAATACTACTACGATTCGAAGATCATTTGCTGAGGCAAGTTCACCATTGAGTTCAAGCCGTAAAGCTAACGTCACCATTCGAAACAAAACTTCCCAACAACCACCGATTGAGTGTCATATTTCTATGTTGAACCAATCTTTATCTTCATCACCTCCAAACGCGTATCTGTCAAAATATGTCGAGAAGTCATTCAGGTAAATCATTTTAGGTTTATTAAACACTACAAGATTTTTTAAAAATGTACATACATATGTAGCTAAGAGTGAAAAGTTGCTATGCCCACTTATGAAAAAAAATATACATATTAATGTAGGAAACAAGATACATAAATGTATGTAGCTAAGAGTGAAAAGTTGCTATGCCCACATATGAAAAAAAAACTTCTTAATGTAGGAAACAAGTTAAAATGCATCGTTTCCTGAAAGAAACTAATTTATATATACATATGTATATAGTACTCGATTAAATTTAGTGATACCTTAATTTGCTAAGTTCCATGTAGAAAAAAAAATTTGGTAACTCAAAGAAATATATACAGACTCGTCATTAAAGTAGTCCATTCCGATTCGTATGGAGTTTTATTTTGACGTAACTTTGGGACATCCAGATAATTATTGTTCAAGCAAATGTCTAAGTGTTGTTTTCTCATGTAGGTTTTAAAATTTATCTGCCCATCAAACAAATTTTTTCAGAACAAAATTTGCGTATAAAGGGCAGACAAAAACAATTTAAAACCTACTTGAGAAAACGGCCCTAAAAAAATACACTTGGAAAGGTAAAGTTTTGACAAATACTTGAAAAACAGACTCCGGGAAAAGCCGGGCAGAGTGTCCAGATTGCGCGATTTGGCACCAATTCGGCGGTCTTATTTTGGATATTTGCGCGTAAAAATTTCGGAAATCGTCTTTGCGATTTTTCCCCCTTCAAGTAAATTTTTTTGTGCGCTTCATTTAAATTCGTCCAAGCGCGTGATAATTAAGTTATGGAATTAGAGCTTTAATTTCGATGTGGCAACACTTTTTATTGTTATCGATTTTGTTGTGGCATATCGAAAATTTGCCAATATTAAACCACCATTTACGACAACTCCCGCTGGGATGAGCATCTGAAGACCTGCAACCTCGCCTCTGGTGTGAGCAAGCTTTGGTCCACCGTGAGGTCGTTGTCCAACCCGACGAAGCGCGACGGCAGAGTCGAGATAGACTTTGGTGACCACGCTTCGTCGGACCCGGAGAGATGCGCGGGATATTTCAGCCGGCAGTTCATTCTGCATCCTCCGGTGGATAAAGCCAAACGTCGAGTGACCAGAAGGTTGCACAAAATGCCAAAACCTAGTGCGCCTCTTGTTTTCACCAACGGTGAGGTAAGGGTAGCCATCGGGAAGGCGAAAGCCTCCAAAGCCATTGGACCCGACGGAATATGCATGTTGATGCTGAAAAATTTGGGTCCTGCGGGAGTAGCGTACCTAACGGAGGTCCTCAACCTGTCAATGGCCACTCTCGTCATTCCAGATATCTGGAAAATGGGGAGAGTGGTCCCACTGCTCAAACCGGGGAAACCAGCCAACAAAGGAGAGTCTTATCGCCCGATAGCGAAGACACTTGAGGCCCTGCTGCTCCCGTACTTCACGAACCACCTGACCCCAGCGAAGCATCAACATGGGTTCCGTAAAGTGCAAAGTACAACAACAGCACTTAACGCCATAAACACTCAGATAACTCGTGGCCTAAACTGAAACCGCCCCTGTGAGAGAACTATTCTAGTAGCATTGGACCTGTCCAAGGCGTTCGACACTGTCAGTCATTCAACGCTACTAGAAGGTATAGAGGCCTCCTCACTCCCACAGGGACTCAAACGGTGGTCGGCGAATTACCTGAGTGGTCGACACTCGTCAGTAATCTTCAGAGACAAAACCAGCAAGCCACGTAAAATTAAACAGGGGGTACCACAGGGTGGCGCCCTGTTCCCGCTACTGTTTAGTTATTACATATCAAAGCTTCCTCAGCCACCAGATGGTGTTAATATAGTGTCATATGCTGACGATTGTTCGATCATGGCGTCTGGGAATGGAATTGATGACTTGTGCTCAAAAGTAAACGGTTACCTCTCCGAACTTTCTCGCTTCTTCACTGCAAGGAGCCTAGCCCTATCCCCTGCGAAATCCTCGGCAACCCTTTTCACCACCTGGACGAACAATACCGACGGTGAATAACCCGAAAATCCTCGGAGTTACCTTCGACAGTCTGCTCTCCTTCTCGGCGCATACAACCGCAATTGTCAACAAAGTACAGAGCCGCAACAATGTCCTCAAGTCGCTGGCCGGCAGCACTTGGGGCAAAGATAAAGAAACGTTGTTGGCAACATACAAGGCAATTGGCCGACCGGTTCTGAACTACGCAGCGCCCGTATGGTCGCCGGGGACTAGCAAGACGCAGTGGATGAAGCTGCAGACCTGCCAAAACACGGCATTACGTACCGCGACAGGATGCCTCCTGATGACGCCTCTACATCACCTTCATGACGAGGCCCAGATGCTCCCGGTAAAGGAGCATAACTTAATGCTTTGCAAGCAGTTCCTCGCTGGGAGCTACAGACGTGGCCATCCCCGCGGGCAACTGCTCGCGGAAGAGCCCTCGCCACGGCACGTCAGGAGGCATCTTTACGAACTGACAGACGAAGTCCAGAGGTATATTAAACAACCTCTGGACCCGACAACCTACCGACAGGCCCTCAACGACATTCACAGGGAATCAGTCTCAAGTTATGTAGACTCCCGCCCTGTGAATGCCGTTCTAGGCACACAACCACCGGACGTGGACGGGACAGAACTTTGTCTGCCTCGGGAGACCCGCACAACAATAGCCCAACTTCGCTCTGGCTATTGCAGCAGGCTCAACAGCTACCTGAGCAGAATCAACGAGGATGTGCCCAACCAATGCCGGGCATGTGGAGAGTCGCCACATGACTCCCGGCACCTCTTCACATGCCCTGAGAATCCCACACTGAGAAATTTTCGTTTTGAAATTTGTATAGAACATTTTACTTTTAAAAACGTTTTGACCCAGGTTTTGCACCTACAATATTTGTTTTAGTTATGAGAATGGAAATTTTTGATATCAGGTTTCAAACTTTTTATTTTAGTTTTCGACACGCACATTTTCGGGACACTTTCTAAAACCTTCGCTTGATATTTCACAGTGAGCGTACTCAAATTGAATTCCAAAATAGTCGTTTGATATTTTAAAATGTGAATTTTTAAAATGATTTTTAAAACGCTCGATTGTTTTATGACAATAAACATATTCAAGTGAGATTCTAACATGTTCGTTTGAAGTTTAAAAATAAGTATTTTTTTTAATGTTATTTTGATAACTTTTACAAAACTCGCTTTTGATTTCAATCAAATCCTAAAAGTTCTTTAATACATGGAAGTATACAATTATCAGGTATGTTTTCGATGTAAGTATGTACTACTTTTTTTTTGTAAAAAAGTTGAAAACAGATATTAGTTTATAATTTATAATTTTATTTTTTCAAAGATGTATGTACATATGCATTTAACATTAAATACTAAACAATTAACACAAATTAAATAGGTTTATATTTAAGATAAGATTTTCCATTGTTAATGTAAAAAATTTCCATTGGTTTTGAAGTGAATTTATTTATATTAAACACCTCCAATGTATCTTCTTTTATATGTTTTAATTCGTAAGATACAAAATGTTCATCGAACGAGCTCTCTCTCAGTTTACTACATATGACTAAAACTTCATTTTCGCACAGTATGAAAAAAATTATTTTAAAAAAGGTAATAACATGTTTTTCTAAGATTCCTAAGTAGTTTTTTTGTTTGTATTTCGTATTTTTATAAACTATAGTATGAGCCAATAACACGGTTTTTAAATTAAGGTTATATAAAACATGGGCTAAAATTCGATGCAGATAATGGTTAGTTATATCCGTTATTTTGAACTCGTCTGGATCAAAAGGTTTGGGTAAACCCTTAGAATGCTGAACTAGACATGACGCAAATTTATATGCACTTTTAATAGAAATTGTTTTTTCTATATTTAGGCGCGACGTAATAGAGTGAGTATATATTTTCATTTCCTTATGCTTAGCCTCATAACGCATTGCCCACATAAATTTCAACGGGCCACATTGTCTAATAGCTCTTGGATAATGCACCATAAAATGATGCTTAGGTTTTAAGTCCCCGTACAAATCAATATATATTGTATGATGGCTTTCTATTAAGGTGGTCAAAGTGTGTATGTCTTCTTCTTCAAACTGATCAACTAATAAGAGATCAACTGTTTTTGACAGCACAATGACGAGATCCCAAAATCTATTTCCTGGTGGAATGAGATCACCAATCATTAGTGGTAAATACGTGGCGAAGCAAATCATTTCACTGGCCGTCATTTTTAATTTATTTTTTTGAAGACATCCGATTGTGATATTAGCTGACATATTGGATAATTCCATTTCTCCATAAGGGAAAAGTCGTTTTTTGGAATTGATTGTTTCTAGGGTTAATACCTTTTCTTTGATTAGGGACAACAGAACTTGGCATATATCGTATGAACAGACGCCCTCAAACAAGTCGTGCATTATGTCGAAAGAAATATTTTCAACGAAATGAAAGGATTGCAGCGAATTAACATACATTTTGATTTTATGCCAGTCAAAATACTAATTTCTTTACAATCTCGATCATAATTATCGACAGTGCGTATATTCCTTTCCTTTCTATTTTACTTTTCTTGGTTTCATGTTTAGTCTGCCTACAACATCTACAAAAATCTATTTGAGCTAAAGGATTGTACCATAACCCAAGACAGAATTGACAGCAAGATTATCACCGACTACTAAGCCTAAGACAAATGAAACCTTCTTTGAATTAATAACAATACCAGCTTCTAGAATTTTGAACTGTTCAACTAAATTTCTTAAACAAATTTCGTAGCCATAAGATTTAAAAAATTTCGACGAAAAAAATCCAGCAGGAAAAATAAAATTTAACTTTGACTGTAGAAATTGAGGAATTGTTGGAAAACTGTAGTAACAAGCACAAATAGAATATGGGTGGGTTCCTAGAGGGTTATTTATTTGAAAATCGTCGAAGTAAACATTAAAAGGTATAATTATGTCGAAATTTTGTTTGTTGGTTAAAGTTTTCTGCATAGTTTCACCATTAATCACATTCGAAATTTTTGTGTTTTCTAACAAAGAGATTGTATTTGCTTCGGTTTCTTGTAGTTAATACATTAGGAAGCTCAAAAAACCTCCTCAACTGAAATAAAAGTGGCATGACATACACTTTTCTTTCTTTAGCATGCAAGGTGGGATTTCCTCGAATGATTTGTTCAGTTATTTCATTGTTTATCACAATTTCATGTGAATGTTTAAAAAGAAATTTTTTTTCTAAATTTTTTACTAACTTAGACTCAGTTTCAATGTCTTTAAAAGCGCTATCCAAGCAGTTCAATAATGACATTAGTTCAGGTTGTACACTGCTAATATTAGTTAAACAATTATAAATAATTTTAAGAATTGCTAATAGCTTTTGCAATACAAAAGCTGCGTCTTTTCTGGAAATACTATTTTTTGCATACAAAGTAGTTGAAAATTCAAGTAATGCGTCTTTTATGTCTATGCAAAAGCTACTTTCTTCAGAGTTTGGAGCATAAACTGTCTCACATATTCTATGTCTATGCCCCTAATCAATGTTTACGTTTTTTTCGTTTTGCAAAATGTTATTTACTTTTGAGCGTTTTGGGATTAAACTATTAATATCATGACTTTCCAGATGACGCTTAAATGTAGCAAACCGAGAGAATAACTTATTACACTTGTTTTGGACGCATGTTTTTGCATCCGCGTTATTAAGAATATGAACGTTTTTGAGATGTGTTATATACAAATCTGTCGTGACAAAAGTATTGTCACACTTAAAACACAAAAACATTTTCTATATTTAAAGCTTATCAGAAAAGTAGTTCAAAAGTAAGCTTAGAGACGCTGATCGGGCGTCATTAGGAGTAATTATATCATAAATAAATATTTGTACAAATGTCCAAGCCAAAACGCAAGGATCTGGATATTTTAAATTAAGACTTTGGAAAAGCTTGAACGTACAATCAAAAGCGCTAAGAAATGATTCAAACTTTAAAAACACTTTGTCAAAGTAAACATAAAAACGTTTCTCACTGTCGAACCCTTAGGCTATGATCAACGGCTGCAAAGATGTCTTGAGGCTTAAGCATTTCGCTTCTAACTCTTCGATTTTTACATAGATATTGCTGATGTTAGCTATTGGAACGACAAAGAATTGGTTCGCATCCAGTATTGAAAAAGATTTACCACCAAAACCTTTTAATGGAATCACAGAGTTTAATAGCTGTAGCAAGACATAATTTTGTTGATCTGATGAAAAAGAAGAAAAATAATTAGACTTTTGAATTGTTTTACTCTGAAGTGCACATAGATATGAATTTATATACCTACCAATATTTCCAGACTCTTCTGCTTCTTTTAGTAATTCTTTAGAAAGGGGATTGATAGATTTTGTATAGTAATATCTTGTCAAGACATCTTTGAAAGATTCCCACTTTTCTTTTAGCTTATTTTGTTTGCCCGGATGTTTAATTTCAAAATCTATGTTGATCTGAAGAAGAAAGATAACTTATAATTCATGCACAGTCAATTAATAAAGTTTAAGTGCAGAGAGTTTCTTGCAATACAGGAAACTGTTTATTAAATATTTTATTTTTTGCTAAACTAAAATTGAGGGGGCTAAAAACTGCGTGCTAAACTTTTACTAAAGAGTGAGACTTTTCCTTTATTTTGCACAAGGTTTAGAGCTCTGATTTTTGGAGTTATGTATGCAGTTTTTAGCCCATTAAATTTTAGTTTAACAAAGTGCAAGTCAGGAAGCTGGGACTTACCATTGATTTTTGGTAAATTTTTTTGTTGAAGGTGTCGCTCATTTTTTCCAAATAAACAAAATTTTAAAAACATTTATTTTAAAAACATTACCAAGTCTGGTGCCCGTGCATCTTTCAGAAGGGGCCACTCTGCCAAGAACGCATAGTTATCGAATTTCTCCAAATCCTTTTGACGCAACTGATATGTGCGAGACCATCTATCGCAAACGGTATCCCAAGCAGCAAGCGGCCAGTAAAGTTCGGATTTTAAATTTGTTATATTTTCTGGAAGTTCCGGGGATCTTTCTCTTTGAGAAGCTATTTCAAGACTTTGCGTTTCATCTAATTTTCTTTTTCGGTACTTTGTATTAGTATACTTGGTAAACAGTCGACCACTTGGAGATTTTTTACCACGCCGAGGTATATAATAAAAATCCTGTATAGTACTCAAATAATTTAAATTTTTAATGCATATACAGTCAGTCAATAAAGTTTAGGTACAGAGAGTTTTTTACAATACGGGCAACTGTTTATTAAATATTTTATTTTTCGCAAATTTTGTATAAAAATATGGTTAATTCTACAACAAAAACCCCAAAAACCAGAGCTCCAAACCTTGTGCCAAATTAAAGAAAATTATGGAAATTTTCATTCAAATATTGCACTTTTTATTTACACTTTTTAGAAAAACGTTGAGTATGCAGTTTTTAGCCCATTAAATTTTAGTTTAACAAAGTGCAAGTCAGGAAGCTGGGACTTACCATTGATTTTTGGTAAATTTTTTTGTTGAAGGTGTCGCTCATTTTTTCCAAATAAACAAAATTTTCGAAAATTATTTTATATGGAGAAAATGAGCGACACCGTCAACAAAAAAAAATGCCAAAAATCAATGGTAATTCCTAGCTACATCAGACTTGCACTTTATTAGATTCACTAAAGAGTGTAAATAAAAAAGTGCAATATTTGAATGAAAATTTCAAGAATTTTAGTTAATTTGGAGCAAGGTTTGGAGCTCTGATTTTCGGGGTTTTCGTTGTAGAATTAACTATATTTTTATACAAAATTAGCGAAAAATAAAATATTTAAAAAATAGTTGCCCATATTGCAAAAAATTCGCTGTACCTAAACTTTATTGACTGACTGTACATATACATATAAGTTGCACTTACGGACACTTTTCTTTCCTCTGGGAAAACGTTTAAAATTTCTTTTAAAATGCAATCAAAATCGTTTGGTGTCAGCTGCTTACAGTTGACAAACGTATGTTCCAAAATAATTTGTACAATTTTGTCTCGTTTAATATTTGTGAGACATTTATGCTCTCTATAATAACTTTGTATGGAACAACCAGTATCCGTTTGGGCCAACAGTTCAGATAGCGTCTAAAAATATAAGAAATGCATGACCAAAACAAACTTTCAAAAACCAGAGGATACATTTTTGTAAATCCTATTTACTCACCTTTCCTCCAAAGATATCCTGTTCCTTCTGCGTCTCGCTGGTTAGATTATATAATTAAATACAAAACCAAATATGAATATTTTAAAATATATGCAAACATACATATGTACATATGTATAATTTTTTGTATAAGAAACTCTTACCAAAGATTTCTTCCATTCGAGCAGTTTAACTCGAAATTCGGCTCGGTCCCCTATATTTTTTATTGCATCAGCAATGTCCCTTTCATTTAAAAAGATGAGATGCCGATATTCAATTCCAGCTTCGGTAAATAACTAACTTATTAACTACATAGTTATACATAAGTCTTATTAATAGCACTTACGTATAAGCTGAGGGAGCAGGTGCTCTAGCTTGAATTTTTTTAATAGTTGCTCCATTTTAATTTCTATTTTGGAAATAAATATTTTTTTGAATAGAAATGCCAGTACACTTGTTTTTTAAAGTTTTCCATTTACACTTTGCGAGTTAAAGTTTTCGATTTTATTTTAAAAATGTTTCATTTTGCTTTGTTGGCTGAATACTTCGAAGCTTTATAATTTGTATGGTAAAAATTCTAAATTGTTTCGTTGTAGTTTTGAAAATACACATTTTAGATGATAACTTCTTCTCTTCCATTGCTTTTTCTGACTTTTTCTTGAATAATCGCTGCCTATCACATCACTGCGAAAATTGGAACCATTGTCGTTGGCTGTTTCCTCAACGCATTGCCAAAAGCTTTCCCTAGAGTTTAGTATTTTTTATATGATTCAACTGGTTTCTAAATGGGAAGTGATTTATAATTTCTATACGGCACATCTCTACTGGAAAGTTTTTTCTCTTCTCTAAAATTTTAAAAAAGATACATACACATCTACATATGTATGTACTTAGCAACTTTTCACTTTAAGCCAGCGAAATAGGTATGTATATGCCGCATGTTTAATAATATAGACATGTAACTCAAAATGTAATATAAATAAGTAGAATATGTTCAGTCTAACAGATAACCAAATTTCCCAAATATGGTGAAGATATGTGTCTCCATCTGTCATTTTGTATACTAACTGTATGAATGATAAAACTTTGATTGCGTTTTCCCACAAAATTGAAATTTTTATATACTTCGTTATATTATTAAACGTGCGATGTATTCTGGTGCATTTTTTGTATGCCAGAGACGTAAATGTTTCTAATTACAGTAAAACCTGCTTAAGTACCTCACGAAAAATGTCAGCAGGTTGGGTACTTAAAAGAACCCGCTTAAGTACCTCGATGCAGGTACTTAAGCGAACATAATTATTGATGTAGTTACACCTTCTTTTTAACTTGTATTGATATGTAAATCTTTGACTAGAACATGAACGTTTAATCAAGAATACGAAACTTAAAACCAAGATCGTAGCATTATTTAAACAGATAAACAAACAAAAAAAACTTTATTAGAAAAAATGATAAAGCAAAGTATGTAATTGTTACAGGAATTAAATTTTTTTTTAATTTCATTGATTATATATATTTATATATTCTTACAAACAGTGTTGGACATCTAATTTTGGACCGAATTCAGAATAATATTGTTTGCCCTTTCAGTTTATTTTTTAATAAATTTTAAGATTGTTCAATTAAATACAGTTAATTCCCTTATCATATAAACCGAAGCTTAAGATTTTGAAAAACACAAAAATTCATCAAAATTTCAAACGAAATTTTAGTGTAATAATGGCAAGTTTCAACTGACTAAAAATTACCGTTTATTTTTTTGATTTTTTGCCGAAGGTGAGTAGCGCTGTCACTGAATTTCAGAATGTGTAAATATTTTAAGAAATCTTAAAAGAGTACTTAAGAGGGGAAAACTATAAGTAAAATGGTAAATGGGGTATGAAAAATTTAGGTACTTAGGCGGGCTGTGTAAATAAGCGGGGAGGTTTTAAGAGAGGTATTTTCTTCCGATTACATTCAAATTTCACATTGCCCAAAAATGTTGGTTACTTAAGCGGGTTAGGTACTAATGCGGGGGGGGGTGCTTAAGCGGGTTTCACTGTATGTGCTTTGCTGCGTATACATAGATATGAACATACATTAGCTCTAACACTTGATTGAATTTAGAAATGTTACCGAAGGATTTTTTTTTTTAATCTTTCTCATGCCATATCAGTATCATTAAATTAAAATTTTTTTTTTTATATTCAACACTGCAAGGCAAATTTACACATAAATATATGTATGTACATAAATACTCAGATTCATGTGTATGCATTCGTTATAATATCTCATATGCATTCTTATTTTTGCTCATTTATGTTAAAAAAGCATACACATGTACCGTGGAATAGCGATAGAGAAGTGTATAGTATTAAATAAGACAAATGTAAATTTCAGGTGTCCGTGGGTACATACATATGTATGCTAAAATCAAATAAAAATTAACCCAATGTTTTTAAAATGATACATTTTTTAAACAATTTAAAAATGTTTCTGAATGCAAATTTTATGATACTTGTATAACCCGATTATTTCTTACCCCATTTTCGTTAAACTGCTTTCTTCTGTCGCCTAGATATTGATATTTTTTCAAATAAAATTAACCAGGGTTCTAATCTGTATTGCGATTGGAAACTCAATGCGATTCGAAACGCGACACGGATTAATGAAAGTTCATAGAGCCAAGTATTCGCATCCGAATGATTTGCTTTTCGCTCTTCGAAACGCCCTTTATTTTCTTCTCCCTCTTATTATATATTTTTTTCTTTTAAATAAATTTAACCGATTAATTGTCCTTGAAACGAATCGTCTAACTTAAATGGAAAATTTTATAGCTATTATAATAGGCTCGCATATTTTTTTGCTATCGTACACATTCACACATTCATAGTATCTACATATGTATGTACATTATGGTGGTCCAAACTTTTTTTTTCAGCCAACCCCCAGAACTAAAGAACATATTTTTTTATTTTGATCACTCAAAAAGTGATGGGAATGAGACCAATTGCATTCATTAATAGAAATTAAAATATGAATAAATACCATCCAAAGCATTTTAAAAAGTTGGTCCCAATTTGCTTTTTACATCGATTTAAATTCGTGAATTCAGGGTTCAAAAATAAACAAGTACAATGATTTTTTTGGTTTGCTCACAAATTTCATACCTACAAACATATACATATGTACATATATACATACGTACATACCTATATAATAAAACTAATAAATTCCTCCCATCCCTTCTCCTTTATCTTTGCAAAATGTGTTTTTATTACTTTTTTTCAAGAAATTATACCTGAAAACACGAAATTACAAATTGAGATAAAAAAGAAATGGTAACCAATTTTGCAAATCCTTTGGTACTTCTTCATTATTTGACCAGCTTAGTCAAATGCTTTTGGTCCGACTCCCACCACCTCCAACTTTTTCAAATTTGTTGCACTGTGTATTTTAAAGGGCTGTTTCCAGCTCTTAAAAAAATGAAAAATTCATATAAAATGACGCACAAGAAATGGAAAATAAATTTTCTTCTATCAAAATTTCTTAAATCAGTTTGCAGCACTCCAGAAAAAAATGCTCGTTATTTCTCCAAGAGATTTTAAAGCAAAAGCAAAGTGCTTTTTCAAGCAACAGAAATAATAAAAAAAAATTAACAAATCCTTTGAGCTGTTCGTGAGTGATGTGACTACGAACGCATAAAATAATTCAATTTTGTATATCAGAGACAAGATTATCGGTTATGAAAAAAAAGTACAATTTAGATGTTAAATATGCATCATAATTTTGTGTTTTGAAGATTTCTGAAAGCAAATATTTTTATTCGATCAAAAAAATATCGGCTTTGAACGTTTCATAGCAATTGTACAAAAAAATACAACGGAAACTTCGACGCGCCAGCGGCACCATCAAATATTAACAGATTTCTAATTGAAAAAATACGGGCTTTTTGTTTATCATTTTACATAATTCTGGCAGGGGACAGCAGGTAGATTCTAATAAGCTGATTTTTTTCATGCATTTTTCGACCATTCTATTGTACAAGCACTGACATCTCGCTTTTTTTATTTTAAGTTTTCATTTCAAGTATATC